AAAAAAACAAACCCTCCAGGATCCCTGGCCAAACTGGCCTAGAGAAAAATTGCTTTCGGACCCCAAAGTGGCAATCAGCATTTCCCATGGCATGTAAGAAAGGGCCACAAGAACTAAGCAACTGAGGCAACCCTTCCTGCCCTCCCTCTCATGATCTGCCTAAATTCACAGAATTCGCATGGCTGTCAGATGGCCATCTAGCCTCTGAACACCTCTCAAAGAAGGAGAGCCCATCACCTCCTGAGGAAGCCTGTTCCACTAAGGAACCGCTCCTCTGTTAGGAAGTTCTTAGTAATGTTTAGCTGAAAATTGTTTTGATTTAGGGATATAGAGGTACGCTTGACTGGCCCTGTTGGAGGTGGGGATTCTTCTGCCACCAGTGGGTGCTTCCCTCCATTGCTCAGCTGACTGGCGGGGGTGGTTTGGCATTTGGGCAAAACTCTAGAGTCTCCAAAGAATACTTGGGTATACATTTCAAAATCAATAAATACACACATGATAGTGTTCCCAAAGCCTGTTCCAGAGGCTAACATGGTGTTCAGTTATCTGTAGTTTTCCTACAGGATCACTTTACCTGTACAAAATGCAGCAGAGACAAGTGCAGGCTGAAGTGGGATCTTAATCCTAGCTTCTCTCAGGTTTTCCCACCTAAACTGCCCCTCTGCACTATTTTACCAGCTATGCTTTTTGTGTATAGCATGGAAATCTGGGGCAGGGGCATAATTTTTTTGCCCAAAAAGTGAGGTGATCGATGCTTTCAAAGACCCTCCTCCTCCATCTTCTGATCCAGACTGCAGCTTCTGTGGCTAGCGTAAAAGAAAAAAAAAATCTCCAGGGGAAAAGGAACATGACATGCACTTACAAGCATTTTTTGGCTTTTGCCTTCAGCATCTGCTATGTATACCAGAACGTTCTCCCTCTCAGTCCTCAAAGTCTCCAGGCAATTGAAAATCTTATCCTGAAGAAAAAAATGAGAACAACTTCTGGGTTAGTTCCTGTTTGTTTTTTGTTTGTTTTTTGAGGTTTGCTATACATATGCACAAAAAACTATAAAATCAGAGAGAAAAAGAAAGAGTTCATTGAAATTACGCACTTGACTCGGTTCCCTGCCTTGCATGGTTGTGTGTGTGTGTGGATGGGTCACTCAAGTCCCTGAGAGCCTCTATATCAGGTAATCACTTGAAATTAGACAAAAGAGAAAAAATTATAAGGACTTAATTGCTTTCCTTCAAACTAATGGGATATCGTACAGATGGGCGGTCCCGGAAGGTGTCATCTTTAAGATCAATGACAGAAGAGAGAAGATAGACTCCATTTTTAAAGCTAAAGAATTTCTGAGACGTCAGCTGGGAACAGAGGAAGAGTCCAAAGAGGAGGAAACAAAGTCTAGTGACTCTGCTACCTCTGAGGAGGGCTCTACTACAGAAAAGGGTGCAGGACCTGCCAGAGTTGTATACGATTTTAGAGACAGAAAGCCGAAGTAAAGGCAGAAGGACTTGGAAAATGGCCTTTTGAAGTGAAGAATAAGAAGACGATCAGAGATTTTTCTCATAACAACTAATAAAAATAACATATAAATGGCGAACTGTTATAAGCAAGAACTCTACAAGTATATTGTGATACTAACACTTATTGTACTAACATTTTTACTAACAGGGAAAAGATCTCCTCCTCTTGGGGTTTTAGTTTAGTGTGGTTCTCTTTCCTTTGTCCCTAGTTGTAGTCCCTTTCCTAATATTTCTTTGTAGCTTTGTAGTCCATTGCAAAATTTAAAAAAATCCCTCTGGGGATTTTTAAAATAAAAAAGGAAAAGGAGTACGTCAAGGATGTATATTGTCTCCTTGCTTATTTAATTTATATGCAGAGTACATTATGTGAAATGCCGACCTGGATGAAGCACAAGCTGGAATTAAGATTGCTGGGGAAAAGATCAACAACCTCAGATATGCCGATGATACCACTCCAATGGCAGAAAGTGAAGAGGACCTAAAGAGCCTCTTGCTCAGAGTAAAAGAGGAGAGCGCAAAAATTGGCTTGAAACTCAACATAAAAAAACCTAAGATCATGGCATCAGGCCCCATCGCTCCTTGGCAAATAGAAGGGGAAGTCGTGGAAGCAGTGACAGACTTCACATTCCTGGGATCCAAGATCACTGCAGATGGTGACTGCAGCCATGGAATTAAAAGACGCCTGCTCCTTGGAAGGAAAGCAATGGCAAACCTAGACAGCATGATAAAAAGTAGAGACATCACACTGCCAACAAAAGTCCGTATGGTCAAAGCAATGGTATTCCTAGTAGTCATGTATGGCTGCGAGAGTTGGACTATAAGGAAGGCCAAGCGCCGAAGAATAGATTCTTTTGAACTATGGTGCTGGAGAAGACTCTTGAGAGTCCCTTGGACTGCAAGGAGATCAAATCAGTCAGTCCTAAAAGAAATCAACCCTGACTGTTCCCTGGAAGGCCAGATACTGAAGCTGAAGCTCAAATACTTTGGCCACCAAATGAGAAGGGAGCACTCACTGGAGAAGACCCTGATGCTTGGAAAGATTGAAGGTCAAAGAAGACAGGGACGGCAAAGGATGAGATGGTTAGGCAGTGTTATCGATGCCATGAGCATGAAACTAAGCAAACTCCGGAGCATGATGGAAGACAGGAGGGCCTGGCATGATGTGGTCCATGGGGTCGCGAAGAGTCAGACTTGACTGTGCGACTGAACAACTGAGCAGCCGGCTGGAGGGAGGGAATCCCCCCAAATAGCAACATTGTACGTGACGTGCCTGCATCACCCAGAAATGACGTTGGCACACTGGTGATATTGTGTGGGTGACACTCTGGCTTTTGGGCAAAACTCTATGGTTTGATGCCGGTTTTACCATAGAGTTTTGCTCAAAAAACCAAAGCATCACTCTCAACATCACTGATGTGCCAACATCTTTGTCTCTTAAGTTTTGAATCTTATCGTTTTTATCTAGAAGGTGGTCATATATTATTATCTTATTTTTCATCAATAGTGTTGGCTTAATAAATGCCTCCAATGGTGAGACCCATCTTGGTATTATTTCATAATATCTACCTTTTATATTTTGCCAATATTTTATCAATGCCCCCCTTATTACATGTTGGTGAAAATTGGAGTGTATTTTATCTTTGTTGTACCAAATATAAGCATGCCATCCCATTGTCAGATCGTGGCCTTCTAGATTTAAAGTTCTCCTATCTTCTGATTTTACCCAACTCTTAATCCATGTTAAAGTTGCAGCTTGATAGTACATAGTACATGATAGACCCATGAATACCTCCTTTTTCTTTTTTAGCTTGATAGTACAATTCCCAGTTGGGTAATCCCATACCTCCTTTTTCTTTTTTCTCTTGTAAATATTTCCACTTGATTCTTGGCTTTTTTGGGTACCATATGAAGTGCCTTACAGTTTTATCCAGCTCTTTGAAGAATGTCTTCTTTTTTAATATTAGTATGTTTTGGGCAAGGAATAAAAAATGTGGTAATATATTCATTTTTATGGTGGCTATTCTTCCTAGTAACGATAGTTGTATATCTTTCCATTTTAAGAGGTCTTTTTTAATTTCTTCCATTTTTTAATAATTATTTTCCATTAGTCCACTGTTCCTGTTAGTCATCTGGATGCCTAAGTACCCCTCCTGCCGCAGATTTCCCATCCCTTCCTCATGTGGTTGCTGGAGTCCCCCGGAAGCATCCTGGGGATCGTCGGGGGCTGTAATTGGTGGAGGCAGTAGTCTTTTTTTTGTTGACAGGTATCCCTTCCATAAATTGAGATTTACTGGAGGAGCCAAGCCACGGATTGGTATGTAGCCAAAGTTGAGGGACGTTACGTTTATAAAGTACCGTATATACTCGAGTATAAGCCGACTTTTTCAGCACATTTTTTGTGCTGAAAAAGCACCCCCTCGGCTTATACTCGAGTGAGAAAAAAAATGACCCCAGAAAATGCCGCCGCTCCGCAGCCAGATATCAGCCTGTAGTCACTGCAGCCCGCCTGCCTAAACTGATCTAGTCACTGCAGCCCGCCCGCCTAAACTGGTTGCTAGATCGCCTCCCGACTGGCGTCTAGCAACCAGTGACGTAAGAGAGAGGAGAGCGGAGACTGACGTGCCAATAATAACAGCGGAGTTAAAAGACCTCCTCCGCTCAGCAGAACACTAGAAGCCGCCGCTGCCCGCCCCGCCTCCACTGGTTGCTAGATCGCCTGCTGATTGGCGTCTAGCAACCAGTGACGTCAGAGAGAGGAGACCGAGGCGGACGTCCTCCTCCGCGCCTTTTCCGTGCCGTACTGGGCAAGAACTTGCCCACATCTGTGTGCTAGTTCGTGGGGTGCATCGCATACAGTTTCTACTGTAAATTGACCTCTTTTAAGAACTATAACTAGGGCGTACAGTATATTTTGAGAATTAAACCGCTATGGTATGGCATTCCTTTTCAGAGTCTTCTTTTTTTTATCCTGTTAGAAATGGATCCCAATACTTCTAATCCTGGACCAAAACAAAAACGCAGGTCATACGAAGCTGGTTTCAAACTTAAGGTTGTGGCAAGAGCAGAAGAAAGCAATAACAGTATTGCAAGTAGGGAATTTTGTGTTGACGAAAAACAAGTGAGGGAGTGGCGGAAAATGAAAGCTGACTTGGAAAAGATTCCAAAGGCAAAAAAAGCTCGACGTGGTTTAACGACTTCATATGAAGCTCTAGATACTGAATTGCATAAATGGGTTATGGAGTGTCGTCAAAATGGTTACTGCGTAACACGCATGGGAATTCGCTTACGTGCCCTTCAAATGGCTAAAGATGAAAAATTAAAAGCACCAGGCATTGAAAATTTTGTTGCGTCAGCAGGATGGTGTACCCGCTTTATGAATAGGTTTGACTTATGTTTGCGGCAAAGAACAAAGATTGCACAGAAGTTGCCAAAAGACCTTGATGAAAAAGTGATGTCATTCCATTCATTCATCATAAAACAAAGAAGGATCCATAACTATGACTTAGGAGATATTGGAAATATGGATGAAACACCTATGACCTTTGATCTTCCAAGCAACAGAACTGTGGCAAGTTTGGGAGAAAAAACTATTTTACTCAGAACCACAGGAAATGAAAAAAACCATTTCACAGTCGTTCTGTCATGTTTGGCTAATGGAACTAAGCTGCGGCCTGTCATCATTTTTAAAAGAAAGACCTTGCCTAAAAAGGTCAATTTCCCACCACGAATTACAGTGCGCGCACATATTAAAGGCTGGATGGATGAAGATGGAACAAAAAAATGGCTGGAAGAAATTTGGAACAAACGACCAGGAGCAGCCTTAAAGAAAAAACCATCATTGCTAGTTTGGGATATGTTTAGAGGCCACACATCTGATGACATAAAAAAATTGGCAAAGTCTTCTCAAGTTACTTTGGCTGTTATTCCAGGTGGGCTTACATCTGTATTGCAGCCTCTAGATGTGTGTTTAAATAAACCTTTCAAAGACCGTGTGCGAAAGATGTGGCATGAATGGATGTCATCTGGTCAAGCCCGACTGACAAAAGGTGGAAATTTGATGAAGCCCGACATCGAATTAATAGCAAAGTGGGTTCGTGATGCATGGGAAGAGATTCCAGAGGACATGGTGCAACACGCCTTCAAGAAATGTGGCATTAGTAATGCTATGGATGGCAGCGAAGACAGCGCTTTATATGAGAATGACAGCAGTGATGGTGATGACTGCGAACTCAGTGATGATGACAATGTCTATGCTGATAACCTCACACCAGATAAAGCTGAAGCTCTGTTTGGCCATACAGATGATGAGGAGGAATCCAGTTTTGAAGGATTTTAACTCTTATGTTTTAACTTTGTTCGCTGCTTGAGCTAAGGTTTTTGTACTTTTAAAGTTATTGTTGATACCATATTGTTTTTGTTGACCCTCTTTTCCACTTATAGAGCTAATTTA